CAGCGTCAATAACATTACTACTGTTAGTTGTCGAAACATTTTGATTTGTGTTCAGATCTAACTTGAACTCACCATTGAAAAAGCTATGAGCGGCTCAGATTTTGGCAAACTGAAATTAAAATTAAAATCACCCTACAAAATCATGGGAAGCGAGTAATAGTTTTCCTTAAAAATGGATAATAGTTTTAAATAGTCTCCTTCGGTATATGGTAAAAGTACAAAATGCAGGGAAATCTTGTAATCTTTTTGTACCGTTTGATTTCAAGAAATGTATGCGACCACCGAAATCCCTGTTTGTCCGTTTTCAAATAAGCATTCCACTGCACATATGTCCCCCAATATCGTTACTAATTCTACCCAGTCCACTTGTTTGAAGATAAGTAATGTTCATAGGAGGAGTCACAACATGTGAGTTTTTCTGTTTGCGATAGATTGCAACACCAGCTGCTCTGCGGCCCGGTCGTTTAAACTGCACGCAGCAATCGAATTTAGGTATCGAAACACGTTCGTTATTATCTAACCACGTCTCTAACAACGTGAGTAACGAACATTTTTATGAAATAACATCGTCGAAATCTGTTTGGTGAGCCCTTTGACAACTGAGCGTAAGGATTGAAATTTTATCCTGGGTGAAGTCTATGACTTACTGGTATGTGCGAAGTGGATTTAGAGTATCATTGGGTGGATGACCAGAGTATCTAGTTCTTCCGAGCTATAACCTCTTATCTTTAGGATTTTGAGTGACTGTGACGAATTTATATATACACTTCCCCTTTGTTAATAAAAAAAATACTTAAAAAGTAAAATATACTTATATGAGAGTAAAAAATTAAAATTTAAAACTACTAAAATGCTTTAAGTGCTAGAAAAATATCTTCAAAAACGGTGCAAGCACTGAGAATGAAAAATTTTGATCAGTGGGTGGGCGAGGTGAGGCCTGACAAATGGGAATGCAGCTTATAACTCAGTCGTTGTAGTAATGAGAGAAACATGAGAATGATTTGAAATCAGAAAAACTGCTTTTTAAAAGCTAATAAAAAATAAAAAACATTTTGAAAAAATATGAAAGAACGTGTTAATTTAAATTTGAGATATGGATAAATAATTTTCCAGGGAAAATTAAAGTGATTTAAAGAAAATTTGTGAAAATAGCTAGTTCCTAGGAATCGAACCTGGGGCGATTCATTTCAAGTCAGCTACTATAACCATTAGACTACGAAGGCTTGGGGAAGGAGTTAAAGTAAGCTTTTAACTTGGGTGAGAAGAGTGAAATAAATTTTAATTGAAAAGAGGTTCTCCCCCCGCCACCGAAAGAATATTATTGGGTCAGTTAAAATTAGGATCAGGGATATATTTTTTAATATCCAAGATCAAAGAATTATTAGAGTTATCAATTTTTTGAAAGAAGTTAGTTGCTAATTTTTTTGATAAATTGTCTGATAGACATCATTTTGCTCACGGATCTGATGTCCTTAATCCTTATGAACCATCGAGCTTTTAATATTTGTCGTGTCGCGTAGGGCAGCGATGCACGTTAAATCTGTCTAGAGCTGAAACGTCCTCCCGTTGGTGTGGTGTGGGAGTTAGGAGAGGGGGTGCCAGCTCAGGTGTCGTCCACGTCACTTGACAATGGTTCAAAATTACGTGGTCCGTCACCAAAAGCCCTCGTGTAGCTGAACAGTGCGACGTTAATATTCAATCAATTAATATTTGTCGTAGAATGATGCTTTGAGAAACTTCAATTTTATTAGTATGAATTTAAACTGCATGTGCCCAGATTGGCGCGGCCTACTGGTTGAAACTGGTCTTGGGATTGGTGTGTAGAGAAGCAATTTATTTTCTCTGCTCTAATATAGAGATTCTTGCAATTAAGGGGTAGATTTTACAGACCGATTATGAGTTCAGAATCGAGCACTCGAGTGCTTGATGGCTACTAGAACTGTACCCCGATGCTCTGTACACCCTCACGCGCTCTTATTGATCAAATCAAATAGCGCACGCTTATGTCAATCCTGTTACACACATCCCTCCCTTTTCACTAAATCCTTCCAACAAATTTCCAGCAAGCGAGAGGAAGAAGTCAATTCCTTCTTAGATCAACAAAGAAAATTTTTATTTTAGATACTCCTTTTTAAATAGTTACATCTAATATAAATATGTATATACATAGGACAGAACCACAGCATTAAGGGGTAATTAGTTGTTATTCATTATCATTAAAGTATCGTATTGTCATCCAAAACAATCGGGTCTATAAAATTTCAGTTCAACTGAATGCTTTGCTGAATGGTGAGAAAAAAATATATTTTCAAGTTTTGAACCCAAGTCGCTAAAAATAAAACCTACTTGGCTGTGTCTGTAATTCTTTAAATAATTAGTTTCAGTCAATTAGTTTTAATTAATTATAATTAAATTATCGTATTTTTACCCAAAACAATAGTGTATAGAAAATTTCAGCTCAAAGGAGCGCTTTAAAATGTGAGAAAAAACCCTTTTCGACACAAGTCGCCAAAAAGGATGCCAATGTGGCTGTATTTGTAATTCTTTGAATAATTAGTTTTAATCCCTTAATCTTTATTAATTATAATTAAATTACTGTATTTTGTCATTCAAAATAATCATGTATATAAAATTTCAGTTCAATGGAGCGTTTTAATGTATTTTATGAACGATTGAAAATTCCACGACGATAAATAAATAAATAAATATATAGAGATTGTGAGCTAATAGTAGGAATTGAAAAAGATGACAGTAAATATATAAATATTACTCAGTGGCACACATAAACAGGAGGGGCAGAGCTGTCCGGACCCTCCCCAACACCCATTGATTTCTTTTTTGATTGATTAAAATCGTATGTGTATAGTACGTAAAATAATTATAAAACGATGTAAACAACTATTTCAGTTTCTTTTCTCGTTTTCTTCTTTAAAATCGAACAGCACATCAACACACATAAGACACTCTCTTATTCTTAGAACCGAACTATTCATTTGCTTTCAATTGTACTCTAGAGAAATAGAATTTATTTTTTGACTATTTGTAAGCCTGTAGAAACAAGTGACTTTAAATGAAAACACTGCCATCATCATGTTTTTGTTGTATTTACAGGTTAAAGTGTAATTTGGTATTTCTAAAATGATTAACTTGTTTTGCTGATTTTATTTTGAATTATGAGAAAAGTAAATATACATAAATTCTTATGTTTTCTGATAATTTAATGAAATATTGTATTACATGGGGGCTATCAGACTGTATCTGGAGATGAAGTGAGCCGAATGTGACATCTGAGACGTCATGTTGAATGTCTCGGCGGGAAGAATCGTTCCTGAGAAAATTAAGACATCCGCCTGAAAAGCCCCCGAGTTATGGTCATTTTTAAATAATTAAAACATTTAAAACAATTAAATAAAATAGAAGTAGGGCACCCAGCAACTCCGAACTGGGTCTGGTTGTGAGAAACACAAGAGGAATCCATTAGAACCAGTCCGTAGTCTGTAGTTGCAAATGGGGTGGCGCTAGCTCGGGAAAGTAAAACGAAATATTAACTCCCCCCGAAGTGGAACAACTGTGACGTAAATGGTCACGAATATCCCAGCGATACACAGAGTACTAAGTGATCCCAAAGTTTCATCCTTCTATCTCTGTAATATCGTTACGTCATCAAAAGGTCGAACCCCATAGAAAAAACATGGGGATTCTAATTTTAGTGATAACTCCCCCTAAGCCCACTATTTACACACGAATTGAAACAAATGAAACAACTCACAGAGTTTCTTTAACGAATCTCAAAAATCGTTGGAGCTATGTGGGATTTAAAAAAAATTATAACTTTAAAATAATTTTAAAATGTTAAATATAGGTAAAGAATTGGAGCTATAGTCCTGAAAAATATATCTAGAATGCTCATAGGAAGAACAATCGAATCCAGCCGGAGCGGTCGACCAAGGTGGCATAGGATTCGAGTTATTTCTGAGGAAGCCCTGTAGGGGGGCCAATTCCACGTAAAGATCGCGCTAATACGAAAATATGGCGGACCTCCAAAAATCAAGTTCCAAGCTCAATTCCTTAGGGGGGGAGGTGAAACTTTTTCCAGTTCCCATAGGATTAACACGGGGGAATGATATTTTAGTGCTTAAGTCCTCCCCATGCATACACAACTGAAATGAAGCAAATGACAAGATGGGTCTCGACGAGTGGAATACTTGGTTCACATCTCAACTCCGAGACTCGAACAGGAGCAAAGATATTGTGAATTTAAACTAATTTAAAAAGTTTAAGACAATCAAAAGCTATGGAAGAAATAGCCCTGTGAGCATAAAATTATAATAACTGGAAGAGCAGATAGAGAGGGATCGAATGAGGGCGGTCCTAATGGACTGTGAGGCTCGAGTGCCGAAATATTGACCAAAAAGCTGAGGAGGGGTCAATGCACAGGGGGGATGTGTCCCAACAGATATGAATCATAGCAATAGTTATTATGATCCTCCAAATATCAGTAACATAGCAGCAAAAAAGTAGCATTTTAAAGTATTAGACTACGGTGTGCGTGCGCATCGGTGTCGTGAAGGTATGCGCACGTATCCGTGACAGTGTGCGTGCGCATCGTAAAAATTTTCCTCGTCCTTTTTCCCTAACGCCCAAAAAGAAGGATAACTTCAAAAATAAATATACAAATACAAAAGGCTCTTATAATTTGTTACAATGTAATAAATATGTTTATGTTCATCGCAATGCGTTCGTAGTAAATATATCTATAATCATATACTTGCAATTGTTATTTAAGTAGGAAAACTGATATTTACTCTTAAGTTTTATGTACATGAAACACAACTTAAAGATTAATTTACAATCTTTTATTTAATTTCCTGAAGTATGTTTGATTTAATAACAAAAAGTGTTCAAACAAATGCATCAGAGAAGCTCCGTAGGCGAAGGACGATCCCTCCCTACCAGTAGGGACGTCATAAATCAGCGCAAAGCAAAGATTCGCAGACTCGGAGGGTATAGCTCAGTGGTAGAGCATTCGACTGCTAATTGAGAGGTCCCCGATTCTAACACGGATGTCCTCTTCTTCAGGGAAGTGAAGAGAAATATTTTTTTGAGAATTTCGAAGGCAGCGAAGATCTGTCCCGTTCTGTATATTTCTAGACAAATCATTTTCGCATCCATGACGGTGTGCGCGCGCATCGTAACAATTCATAACCCTCATCCTATTTCTCTAACGCCCCAAAAGAAGTATATCTTCAAAACCAATTGTATAAGAGCTTTAATACTTTGGAATGGTAGAAAAAACATAAAATAATGCTTCAGGACAACAATTTGGTTACATGCAAAACAAAAAACTTATTGTTTGGAAATGATAAAGAATGTTTAATATGGTGTATGGTGCCTCCAAACTGATAAGGCTGCCCCGCACCTTTTTAGCATGGATGCTAAGAGGTTATCGATGAGACTCTAGCGAATATTGTTCCACTCTTGACAAAGTGCGATCTCCAAGCCTTGCCTAAGAACAGGAAGCTTTGATCTTGCTGCAGCAAATCTTTCAAATGATTGGAGGGATCAAGATAAGGAGAACACGTTGGCTATTTAGTACGCTGTATTCTTTAAATTTCAAAGGAGCTCACCACAAAACCATTTGTATGAGTTCTGGCATAATACTGCTATAAAAAAGGAATCACAAAGGTATGCAGAGCATAAGGTACAACATGGGGTTCCAAGATCTCGTCTGTAGGCCTTAAAGCCGTCGAATTGCTGTTCCGAATGATGTGCACAAGTCAGTATGTCCACCTATGCTGATTTCAGCCCATACCATTAAACCATTTAATCAGTAATTTGATACTTCGACTTCCCCTTTCTCGCCGTACCAAAACATGTTTGGTGTCTTGCCCGTAAACAGCATTTCACTACAATCACTTGACCAATCTCGATGCTTGGCAGCTCACTTTCTTCGAGACACACGGTGTCTTGTTGTCAACGAAATACACATCATTGCTTTACAAACATACATACAGACAACCAGGATGAAACATATTTCGGAATATTTGGCTCGAAACTCTTCGTCCTTTGGCAAGAAGAAACTGTCTTTTAAGGTATCCGACTACGTTTGGAACCGTGATTTTGCAAAAGTGTTTAAATGGATAATATTTATGATATTTAGTGTCACTTAGATTAGAAAATGTACATAAAATTGTTTTAATAATAGTATGACAAAAAAAATTATTTAAGTACAATATTTTGACAAAAAATGAACATAAAATGAACCATTTTCAAAATATTCTCCTTTTGTGAAAAAGGCTATTATAATATTTTGCCTGTATATATCTGTACAGAGGCTCAACTAGAATTTTTGATATATATAACTTGGAAGTGGGTTTATCCATGTTTTACGACAACAGAGGAGAGAAATTTTTTAAAAAAAAACGCCGATACTTATTTCAATGGGTCGTAACTCTGAAAATAATGTGAATTTTTCATAATAGGATCATTTTTCACAAAAGAACACTTTGAAAAAGGTTATTCTAAGTTAATTTTTTTCCAAAATATTGTAATTAAATAATGTTTTCGTCAAAATGTTATTAAAACAATTTTATACATGTATTCTAATCTAAGTGACACTAAATACCACACAAATTATCCATTTATGCGCTTTTTTGAAAACACGGTTCCGAGCGTAGTCGGATACCTTAACCTGAGTGGCATTGGTTGTTGTCTCGACAAGTTATTAACTAGATACATCGATCATCATTTACTGTTAAAGCACGTGGACGACCTATTACTGGTCAATGTCGAACATCTCTGTTGGGATGGATGGCACAGTTTTGCAGTGCTGCTTCTTCGGACTCCAACAGCGTCATTTGTGTTCCAGTCTCATCGATAATACACCAAGTCCCATGGATTCCGGTAGCAGTGGCGTAACATACACCTCCGCAAGCCCCACATCGCACGGGGGAGGGCAGGATTCTAGGGATCCCAAAGCCTGACTTTGTGGGGGGATGTTCTTTGTTACGCCACTGCCCAGTAGTCAATCACCTTGTCGTGACATTTGTCAGTAGCTTTTTCTCAAAACAAAAGCCAAACGGTTGAATGGCCCCGAGACAACGAAAAGCAACAGCTTCTACGAAACCACGATTTCTGCACTTTTATATTTTTTTTTTTTTTTTTGTATTTCGACGCCATGATTAATATATGAAGTTTTCCTATGCTGTTTTCAGCTACACTTTAGACTCTGCATGTTTTGTTTTAAGTTATTATCTGAAATAGTTGCTTATTTTCGTTCAATACATGCGCTCCCCTAATTGTTTTGAGCAATGTCTATACTATTACTCAACTTATTTTTTATGAACGGCACTATTACTTATTTTATATTACTGATGTTACTGTCACTTATTAAACGAATAGTATTTCTAACTTTATCTTTTGGAATGTTATAATAGTTTTAATGTCTTACCCCTCAGGAAGATCGTTTTAAAAGTGAGATTTTCACTCTAAAGTTATTCACTGCATCATTGAATTATTTATCTGTGGCGGTGTGATATCTGTATAAACCAGTACTGGTCATTACGCGATGGCGATCGTTTTGGCGTGAACGCTAAAGTACTCGCGTTCGGAACGGAAGGTATCCCGAACGAATCTTCCAGCTTCATATCTAAAGGCTGAGCGGAAGTCACTTGAACGGCTCCACCATTCGAATATCGAGTTCTTCATTGACTCTCGAACGTGGGTGTAAATGTTCTCTAATCCCTATTTATTTCTACAACAATTTTTATTCTTTTTAAAGTTTACATTAATTTTTTTAAAATTTCTTTTTTGTTTTATTTAACTTTACAATTATGTAATATTTAAAATGAGCTGTTCTGATGAGGATGTACATATTTAAACTGTTTGATGCGGCACTTTATTTGGTGCAATGGGGTTTATTTTTTTCATTCATAGAGTTAGAATATTTGTACAAAATATCATCAATGAAGAATACGTTGTAATCTTTATCGAATACTATATAAAAAACTATATTAATAATTTTTAAAAAAAATTAAAACACTCATTTCAGTTCAGTTCCTTCTATAGTAATGCAATTAGGTAAATTTCTCACCATTTATACTTGTTATCTAAATTTCAAAACTTGTTTACGCGATTCTTTGAAGACGAAATAATACGTACAATTACTGGTTAGCAAGTTTCTTTATCATTGTGTTTCAATACTGTACTGGTAGGAACAAATTGGCCGAAAGTGGCGTATGCCTAAATGTGAATAATATTAGAATTATCACTCAACGCTTTTACAGCGAGAATAAAAGAAATATCGATGTAAAAGTTGAAATGATAACAACAGTGCTCCTATTCATGTGGAGCAATGTTGCTAAAACTTAGAAACGTGAAAAAACACGCAATTTTTGTGTGGACATACAAAATAAAATAATTAAGTCGTTGATAAACTATATGGATCAATCCACTGGCGTAGCTAGTTCCTGTTTTTTTTAAAAATGAAAGCCCTGTTAGTGGTACTTTGGTTACACACGTGTGGGCCCCGTATCATTCCTAGGGCTGATACGGCGGCAGCTATGCCCCTGGATCAATCAAAGTTTAAAGAGGGAAAAAGTCAGTTACAAATAAATGTGCACTGCATAAAAATATGAAATGCCAAATACACTAGCTGAGTTAAAAGATAGTATTTATGTCGATAATATATCTACGAGGGTTGGGGCAAAAGTCATGGCAACTATGTTTTTTTCTTGAAGATACCAGCCCGGTTGGAAAATGTGACATATACAGATGGAAGTTCAAGGTATTAACTACATGTGTGGACAATGGATAGCACTGAAATATCGTAACACACTAATTTATTACGATAACATCCAGGGCAATATGACCTTCACGGTGCAAATAATGACAACTCAGTACACAAAAAGTTGACATGACAAACCTGGGCCTAAAGATGTTAATGTAATCCATGAACTGCTCGATGACGGCACGTGCCAAGTCGTTCCGCACACTGACCGGTCGTCCCAAACGTTGCTCACGTCCTTGCTGAAACTTTCCTATCGAACGTGCTACTGTACGGTAAGATAGGGCATCATTCCCAAGGGCTTTCACTAATTCACTGTGACATTCCATCGCATTTCTCTCTCGGACAACGGCTATTTTGATGTAAGCGTGCTGCACAACACGGGTTACTTTCCTCTTGCACGGTCTTACCAACTGACTGATTTCATAGCCCTCACTGAGCTACTACCAGCCATCTGAGGTTCTGCATACACACTATGCCCGCAGAACTTTCACAAGCCACATATACGTTTGTGATCCGTTGGCATATCTACAAGAAAAAAATAGTTGCCATGACTTATGCCCCAACCTTCGTATTTAGAAGTATTCCTAGTAATCAAGCATCCTGTTATATTATATTACGTGAGAAAATTTTCTTAACTGATGATTTTCAATTTCATTTCACAGGTAACGTTTTCATCGATTTCGCCCGCTCTCCGCAATGGAATTGCCCACAGCCTGCTGACTACGAGCCCGCCCCAGAAACAACAACCACCTCAACATCCACCAAAAAGCCCCAGCACTCACGAGCCCGACAAGCCAGCAGGACACATGAAATTCGGGTGAAAGAATCGGAAGACTTATGGAACTTACCCCCTCTCGTCTGCCCCAGCGACAAGACTTTTAGGGCCCAAATTGGACCCACAGGTGGAAAGGGAAGATTTCATACCACTAGAAGTAAGAAATCACTTTACACTTAATAGTAACTATTTTAGAATGTCCCCTTGTAACATTTTAAACAGCAAGGTCCGTGAGTATGATCTATTATAGTACTAACAATTAATTGTTCCATCCAAAAGTAATAGTTTCAAAAACGGGTTGCTTCAGAATTCAACCCTAAACTCTTTCTTCATTTTTTTAACATCATGCAGTTTAACAAAATTTATATACGTCTATAATTGAACAAATAATCTTATTTTTTAATGACGAGGGTGTACAATTTCTTTTCTGCACCCCACTTTCTGAATCGCACGGTTCAGCAGACCGTTATCTTGTTGCCTTTGTCCACCGTTTGTTTATCCCGTCTCTC